GATGTGTGTATGGATTGCGATAACAGTTGTATGAGCCCCTAATAAAATGTCAAAAAAAAAAAAATCCATTGGAAAAAAAAGAAAAGAAAATCCATTAAGTATATTCATGATACATGCATTGTTTTCCATTGTTAAATGTCAATTAAAAAAAATGCATATATACATTTGAAAAGTCATGTAAATTAAAAAACCAAATAGGCTGACATAAATGTGCACAAGTAGAAAAAAAACATGGGAGAGTAGCTAAGAAAATTCTGGTAAATAAAAAAAAAGTATCGAGAGGAGTGCTATCAGATCTCAAATTAAATATAATATTTATTATAATTAAATGTTGTTAGGTATAGATTTTCATCTCATGATAGGGTCTATCAGTTTCCTAAAGTGCAATATATATATATTTATTTATTTAACAGAAGGGAAATACATGTATATATTTTTAACAGTTTACGTTTTATGGCAGTGGTTATATTAATGGATAGCAAAGGACGAGCACTATGGTGATTGCCGAGACCGTCACAAATCGTGCCTGCGACATTTCATTCCAGATGAACTTCCCAAGGTGGCCCCAATATTACTGACAAAGTAGTCACACAAAGGACTCTTCCCTTTAGCTGTTGGGATGTCCTGACGTGTCTATGCTAGCACCAGGGAGTGACCTCAGTCAGTGGCCAGTCTCAGCATTTGCAGATCTTACCCTGAGCCTGTGCAGTACAGCATCTTCAAATGGCTCTTGGGGAGTCTGGCTGGCCTCAGATAATTTGTAGGAAACCAGTCAGGTTCCAGACGGATAGGGGAGATATTCAGAGGTGAGTCTCAGCTCTCCTGCTCTATTGATCTTGATCTCTAGTGATCTTATGAGGGCGTTTCCGCTGTACAGGTTCAATGGTTCTCAACCTGTGGGTTGCAACCCCTTTGGGGGGTCTAACAAACCTTTCACAGGGATTGCCCAATGTGTTTAACAGTAGCAAAATTAGGAAGTAACAATGAAAATAATCTCATGGTTGGGGTGTCACAACATGAGGAACTGTATGAAAGGGTCGCGGCTTTAGGAAGGTTGAGAACCACTGAGGTAGACCTTTGTAAGTGGAACCTGGCTTCAGCCTTGGAATTTATTCACGTTCTGCCCACCAGGGCTGAGACTGACAATTAGATATGGTCAAGCAATCTATAGAAATGTCCCCTTTTTTTGGTTTTTGCTTGCCTTGCATAATCTGGGGCACCTTCCAGGCGGTGTCCAACCATGTGGTTCAGGTAGAGCTTGTCCAGGCTACAGAGACTCTGGAATTCGGCATCATCTACCCACTTGTGCAGAGCTTGGCAGAGACAGTCCACAAGTGGTGGAAGCATCGAGGCTGCAAGGCCTACTGAGTCTAAACTGCAGATCTCTTAACAGTCAAGCAATTAACCTTAAATAGTGTAAGATTTCAAAGTTTCTGGAAAAATGGAATTTAAAGTGGAATTTTCCCATGAAGTGTTTGAAGTTCCCGCATACCTAGTACCCAATACCAAGGTTTATATGCAATCAGATGCTATTGAGTCCATTCTGACTCACAGCAACCCTATGTACAACGGAACCAAGCTGTCCGGGCAGACATCATCCCCAGTGATGTCTGAGCCCATTTGTGCAGGCAATGCATCAACCCATCTCGCCCAGTGTTTTCCTTTTTTGCTGCTCCACCAAGCACCATGTCCTTTTTCTTGGGGCTGATTTCTTCTGCTAACATGCCTTAAGTACTGGAGATGAAATGTCACCATCTTGCTTCCAAGGACCCTACTGGCTTTACTTCCAAGACAGATGTTATTCTGGCAGTCCATCATTCATTCAGATGCATCAATTCTTCTTCAGTTGAACTGCAGTCCACACTGAAGGCTGCAGTCTTGGGTTTTAAAGTCCTCCCTTTCAGCCTTCCTGTAACCCTGATGATGGGTTCTTTCTACAGTTCTTCTCTGATCACCTGCTCATTATAGATTGAAGTAGTGATTTCAAAGCATTTAGTATCCCTTTGCTCGTCTTTAATGCCTTTACATGAAAACAAGCAACTATATTTCTGGTACTCTTTCAGCCAAGATCCATCGGCTACAACAATATCCCCAATTCTACATTCTCTTCTGAATCCAGCTTGAATTTCTGAAAGCTCAATGTGGATGTACTGCTATGCTATATCTATTTGCCTATGATTAACATTTTACTTGCATGTGATACTTTTCAATAATCCCCACAATCTGATTATCTGGAGCCCTGGTGGTATGATTATGAAATAGGCCAAATGCAAGGTCCGCAGCTCAAAACCATCAACCAGCTGCTCCTTGGGAGAAAGTGTGTTTTCTATTCCCATAAAGTTAGTCTCAGAAACTCAAAAGGGCAGCTCTACCCTGTCCAAATGAGTTTAAATTGACTTGAAGTTTTTGAGTTATGTCACCTTTGGAATGGGCACAATATGGATCTCTTCCAGTCTGTTGGCCAAATACTTCAAAACGCTTTGCATTTGGATACTTTCAGTGCTGCTTGGATCTTTCCCATCAGTACTATTGGTATTATAATTAAGCTGTATTAGAAGGGGTATTTAACCCACTCCAAATCAAATAGATTCTGATTCATGATGACCAGAACCACCTTATTGGCTTGAGGCTAAACTTTATGCAAGAAGACTGCTGTTATCTTTCTGCCAGAGCAGCTGGTGGAGTGTCACTGCTGACTTTAGTTAGCGCTCAATTGTGCCATTAGGGTTCTTTTATAGGACCATTTAACAAGTATGAATAAACTCTTAGATATCACAACATGTCTCTGTATATTATAGACCTCATCACCTTAGAAAGCAATGTGGAATCCTGTGTGGAATCTATACGGCCGATGAACAGTTTTGACATGTTCCCTTCCGCATCACCTTTCTACATATGTTAGCACAAGTGATCTTTCAGTCCCATGTACACAAATAAAAAAAAGCCAACTGTAATAAAATATATTTATTACATAAGATCAGCATCATTTACCTTTTGCATTACTTTTTGATAACTTAAAATGACTTATAGTCATTTAAATACTATAGCTGCTCGAGTCACAATATGTCCAAATAAATGACACTCAATTTGGCAAACTAATAAGATCTAGTTTAGGAGGACTTGGGTCTTTAGTGACTGCCATTGTTATCTTCATGTTAATTTTGGCTTCTAGCCACCAGGCATAACACATTTTGATTCACACTATAAGATATGGAATCAGGTTACCTTATGCTGATTATGATTATTATTCTAATTTTAAAATTTGTAATAGTTATTCACATATAATTCACAAATCATACATTTCAATAGTTTAATCATATGTATATGATTATCGTTCCTTTTCATGGAGATGAGTACTACAGAAAGAGCAGAGAATGATCTCTTAAGATAAGCACCCACTGATTTTTCTAATTTACCAATCTTTTTTGCTATACTGCATTTACCAAGCACTATTTTCCTGTAGTTTTGAACTTTCTATAAGCTTAAAAGAATTGTTTGGCATACACCCAATCCGTGCTTTGTGTACCGAGTAAACTCCAGAACTAACCAGCCACTACAATAAAAGGACCTGTGTGAATGCACGTGGACTTTGCATCCGAAGGTCTCTGAACACGGTCTGTGCGAGGAATACTAATGGCAGCAGATGATCTGGCCGTAGGAAATAGCTTGTTGCAGGAGCAGTTAACAGGGCTGTTGGTTTTCTCTTTACAACTTAAGCAATTAGATAAGTATCTCTTACATGTGACTTCCATGAGGTGGTCCTGGGTATGACATTGACAGGCTTTAAAACATTCCTATTCATGCTGTGCTTGTCTATTTTTACACTACCCCTCTCCATAGCTAAACATAAAAACGTAGCCATAGTGGTAAGGGTAACATTCTCTTTTAGCAGCTTTTGTTCTAGGCCAAGTCCATGATAAAAAGTCACCACACAAAAAGCTGTAATTCTTTCAGATTTTGGAATTAACAGGTTTCATCTTCTTTGACCTAATTCTTTCAACACTGGCTCTGCTTCTGAATTAAAAGACATCATTTCTCTTCGACCCAGCATATTTTGCCATTTTCTCCAAGCCGTACTGTTCCACTGGCCACTAGCTGGAGGGCTGCTGGGAATATTTTGTGTTCAGACTCTCTAACTCTTTCAGACAGAGTTGCAACAGTGTCACCCCTTTTCACTGGAACCGCTTCTTGTAAGATAATTTGTCCAGCATCCACATCTTCCTGGAAAAGCAAGCGAATGTTTTAATTTTACCTTCCGGCAAGCACAAATTACAGCTAGATACTACATAGTTTTGGCAGGAAAAGAAAAACTTACAGCTACAAAGTGTACGGTGCAGCCAGTGATTGTAACGCCACTTTCCAGGACTTGCTCATGGGCATTCGAACCCTTAAAAGAAGGGAGTAAAGAGGGGTGGATGTTGAGCATTTTCCCTAGAAGTTAACAAAAACAGAGTGGTTAAAATCTATCAATCATCCATATTCTATCAAGGTTGGAATCAGAAGTCTACAATAGCAATTAGTGTTTGCCAGAGAAAAAGAAGAGAGATATATATAGGGCCCTTGAAGACAATTCAACTGTTGGCACATCAGGAGAAAAAAAAAAAAAAAAGGAGGGGTGCTGCAAGTTTCCATCTGTGCTAACGCCCACCAGCCAGATTAGTTACTTCTTTCTATTTGCCTTATAGGAGTCCCTGGGTGGTGTACATGGTTAACATGTTCCATAGTTAACCCAAAGGCTGGTGGTGTGAGCCCACTCAGAGGCATCTTGGAACAAAAGCCTGGTGATCTTCCAAAAAACCAGCTACTTAATATCCCACGAAGCACAGTTCTATCCTGACACATGAGGCTGCCACGAGACAGAACCAACTTAGTAGCACTGTCTTGAATTGAGTTTATGCTGTTTCCATGCAGGCTATTTCCCTTTGTTGTACTTGCAGTTTCTTGTGCTTTACACAATGATACTTCCTTGCAAATGGCATGCACTTCCCTAGGAGAGGATGGACTTTTCACTCTGAAATGCAAGGAAGCATTTTCTCCAGCTTCCTAACAAACACAAAAATGAAAAACAAATATTCATGGCACTTGCTGTTAACCTAAGTAAGCTATACCGGGAAAAGTGACTAATGATAGGAAGCAAGATAGTAAATCACTATTGGATCATTCTTTGGGTTAATGCAAAAGGTATCAGATCAATGTTAAACTAAAACACTGGAACCTTTTCTGCAGTTTTCAGTTCTCTCACAGTATGAACAATTTTAACTTACCATTCCATTTCCTGACAAATGGGCCAGACAATATTCTCATGAATCCTGCAAGGCAGACTATGTCGATGGAGAACTCTTCAAGGACTTGGTCAACTGCACTGTCAAATTCGACACGGCTTTTATATAATTTATGGTTTATTACCTAACGGATAAATAAGCATAACTGTTCAGTGAAATACTACAAATAATACTCAATTTTCACAGTATGTCCTTATCAAGTCATATATAACACAAATACTTATTTTGGAGAAACAGGATGAAACAGAAAAGCAACTCTGGCCCCACCTAAATGCCCTTTGAAGAAGTCTACATGAGCAAGTGCCCATGGACCAGTGTCAGGTGAAGGCAGATTAGGAGTTTAAAAATAGCCTGCAGGAAAGATAATTTTCAAAGTAACTTACTTTGGAGGGAATACCAGCTCTCTCGGCTTTATCCAGTCCAGTCACCGAAGCTTTGTTGGAGATAACAACAACAATGTGTGCAGAGCTGTTTGGGTCCCGAGTACTATCGATTAGTGCTTGGAGATTTGATCCTGTAAAGCACATGAGCCATTTTGAATAGGGGATAGCCAAGATTGGAATAAATCTCTTAAGCATGAGTGGCAAAATATGTGAGGTTTTTAAAAGACTTCCATCCACTCAGGGTATCTGATAGCTTGTGAAAAACACGTATGCCTGACTGCAGAATAATAAGATAGGATCTAGAATGATTTTAAAGATGCCTAATGAAGAATACACTGCTTAATTAAAAAAAGGGAAATGGACCCTCTCAATAATAAACACTATAGCCCTTACAACAACTCCCTTGCTTCATCATCAACTTTGGCCTACATTGGAAACCTCCAAAATGGATCTGTTAAAAGCAATTATATTTCTGGGAATATACCCCTGAATACAGAGTCAGATATGTACATAAGAATGTGCTGTGCTAGCGCAGAGGGGTTGCATCGAGGAGAAAATGCTTCCAGGGGGCAATTTAGTGCCAACAAAATATACAATACTCCTCTGGTTCTTTAATCCTCCCGCCAATATTATGATCTCAGTCCTAACTCGAAAATCCCGCTAAACTGGGGTACACACGGCGGCACAGTTGAGAGCTTTCAATATATGGAATTCAGGAAAGACAAACTCTCTCAGAATCATCAATGGGAGTAATGATTCCAGGAGGGTAAGGGAAAGGAAGAAAAAACAGACAGCGATGATGGCTAAATACTACCCCCTTGAGGGGAACAACTATAGTAGGTGGAGAGATAAAATAGGGGAAAAGAAGAGCTGATATCAAAAGGGTCAAGAAGAATGATAATCTTTAGAAATTGTTGATACCAACAATTGTACATGTCCGCTTGATATAATGGGATGTATAGATTGTTATATATAAGAGCCCCAAATAAAACAAATGTGTTGTGTGCAAAACATTCAAAGCAATGTTACAGTTGAGGTTGGAAAAATGACATTATATTCACCTGAGAGAAGGTTAAGCATATTTGAAAAATTACTATTAACAATAAAAAACCTTGTAATTTAGGATTTTTTAACCACAAAGTCTTGATAGGAAAGGAAGTGGAATTTCCTTTCTAATTCTTCCCGCTGTATTTAAGATTTTATATCTACAATCCTGATTGATACACAATGCTCTAACACCTTTGGGAGCTACTTCAAAGCTACTTCATATGAAGATGCTGAAAAGACTACACTCCTTCATGACTTCTCCTGCTCAACTCTGCTGAGGGCATTTCTATAGCTCTTCAGGAACGTGGAGGCCCATCTCACCTGTTCCAGATATTAAGACAGCCACCCGTGCCTTTTTTGGTTGAACAGAGAGACGATTTTCCAAAAAGCCATTCTCCAACGTGGACCCATTGATTTGCATGCTTTCAATCAGGTGCTTGACTTTCACACGAGGGGAACCTTCATTTAAAACAGAGCCATGAACAAGAAAATAACATCTGGGCATGAAAACAAGTAACAGAAAAAGATTCTGTGCAAATTTTGGAATACTCTATTTAATTCTGAAAACAAGATGTGTAAGATTAAAACCACTAACAGGTCTGAATCCCTTGTTCAAACAGATTCCCTGGAGGTGAAGTAACCACCTACTTCAATTAAGAGCTCTATTGCATACCTTCATGTAATAATGGGGTCAAGGTGGTTCAGTGATAGAATCCTTGCTTTCTACGTGGGAGACCTAAGTTCAATTCCTGGCTAACTGGATGGCAGCTCACAAGCAGCAAAATGTGGATATAGCACTCTTTCTTATTGTAATGTGAGTTAAAGGGCACGGAGCCAAGATCAACATATCTTTCTGACATTTGTAGAACCTGCCTGAAAATGAAACCTACGTGGATAAAGGAAAGGAAGTCAGATACTCACAAAGGCTCTGTAATCCTTTTCAGGTAATCTGAGTGGATTTTCTGTCACTTCCTAGCTATAGTTCTGACTGATAGAGCTTGTCAGGGTGCTCACTAAATACTCTCTTTAAATTAAGCTAACTCACACACAAAGCAGAGTCTGAGACACTGTGCTGCACATCAGAGGGTTACTTTGGGAAGAAATGGGTGTGTAAAGAGCATCCCAGAGAGACATTCAATGAGTGTATGACTACTGGTCACTATTGTGAGTAACCAGGGTTTAATTCCACTCTGACATTCCCAGAAGCCTCAGAATTGCTCTCCTCTTCTATTTTTAAACTCTATAAACTCATTGCCATGGAGTTGGTGTCGTCTCAAAGTGACCCTCTAAGGACAGGATAAATCTGCCTGTGATTTTCTGAGACTGTAAAGGCTTATGAGAGTAGAAAGCTCAGTCTTTCTTGCTCTGAGCAGCTGGTGGTTTTGAACTGCTGACCCTGTGGATCACAGACCAACTCACAACAACTAGGCCACCAGTGTTCTCTCTCTAAAGTGTCGTTCCCCCCCCCCCCCCCAATCTAACCTCTCTGGACAAGGGTTTATCTGTGAGGTAAGCTCCTTGCTCTTCTAGCATGTATGTGAATGCTACGCAGAGGTGCTGGGAGTATTGAGACAGAAATGAAGCACTATCTAGGGTATTTGTGGTTAGTGCTGTAACATTCAAATTAAACTCATCGCTATCAAGTTGATTCTGACTCCTGGCAACCATATCCGACAGGAATTGCGCTTGTGGGTTTCTGAGACTGAAAACAGTTTACAGGAGTAGAAAGCATAATCTTTCTTCTACGGAGCAGCTGGTGGTTTTCTACTGCTGACTTCTTCCTGTTAGCAGCCCAACTTGTAACCACTGGGCTACCAGGGTTCCCACCTATGTAAATATGGTTGCTATAGCAATCAATGCTGTATGAAAAGTGGATAGACAGGCCTGTCTGGATAGGACAGGCTGGATGAACAATCTGGAGGAGAAAACAACGGGACTGACAGTTCCGGGGGGGACATGGGAGAGGGGGAG